AACTTGTACCTGGGCAGAGTTGTTTTAGCTAGTGAATGCCTGAGAGACAACTCAACTAGCCCACTCTATTTATGTGGCCCCTGACAACCAAGCTCAGACCGTGCTTCATATCCCAGTCAGTCATCTTCCCTGAGTGATCCTGTCAACTGACTGGCTGCCATGTATGCGTCCATGTGTCCCATCATCCTCCCCAGCCCCTTCCGCTTCTCACTCTGAGCTCCACAAGCAAATCAATATCACCATACAGCCACTGTTCCTAGAATGGTCATGTTAGACTGTAGTAAGACAGGTCTAGTGGATAGAGTGCCAGACTTGAGGTCAAGAAGACTTGAGTTTGAATTCGACCTCTGACTCTTACTAACTGTGTGGTCCTGGGTAAGTCACCTAACCTCTCTCAGCTTCAGTTTCTTCATCTATAAAATGAGAATAATATGAGCAATTACCTTTCATGGGTCTTAAGATAAGTAAACTGCTTTGCAAACCTTAGAGTGCTATATGTAAATGCTATCTATTATTATTATCTGATCTAACTTCCCTCATTTTGCAGATGAGGAACAAGAGACCAAATTCAGTTATTTCTACTCCCCTAAAAGTAATAAATGAGATCAATTCTTATGAGTTTGGAAAAGAAGCCAATAAAATGATAGGTTTCCATCAGATCTGAAGCTGAAGGACATGAATTTGAACCCCAGGTCTACTAATTAATTACTCCCTGTGGGTCCTTGGGCAAATCACATAGATTGTAGGTCTGGAATTGGGAATGACCTCAAAGGCCATCTAATTCAACTTCATTGATTTTACAGATGAAGAAACTGTGGAAGAGGAAGCATCAGAGATGGGATTTGAACACATTTCTTCTGACTCCTTGTCCAGTACCCATTCCATTTTACCCTCCCTGTGCCCCAGTTTCCAGATCTGTAACATGAGAAAGTTAGATTAGAAGATCTCTAAGATTACTTCCTACTTGGAAATCTATGATCCTATGATCCCAGTGGTAACATTTCCATATTAAAGGTTGAATGTGACCTAGGGGTTGATACATAGGAAGTGATGAGAATGGGAGATTATTAGGACTGTTTATGCCTATATGCAGTTGAAATAAGACAGAAAGAAGCCCTCAGACAACAGCCCTAAGAAGGGATGGGGATAGCAATGAGGCAAACTTGAGAGGGTCAAGGAACCCAGAGGAAGTTGAGGAAAATGATGAAATTCACTTGTTTGAAAAGAAGCCTGATGATTCCCCAGGGGCATTATTATGGAAGCAGATGCGGCAATGGCTTCGCAAGAGAGAATGCAAAGAGAAAGCATCATCAGAGAGCAGCTGTGGACTCTCTCCATGGCTCAGAGTCTTAAGGAAAGAAAACTGGGAAAATAGAGGGGGTCAGAGGAAAGCTCACATCTCTCCAATTAAGGCTCATGGAGAGGTGGGGTGGGAGCCAGTATTGTTTTAAGACTGAGTCAGTGAATACTGGCAAAGAAACTGGAGAAAAGAGGTCCTGAAACAGGGGAAAAGAATAATTTCAGTCTTGACCTTAGAAAGGCAAAGAACCTAAATGTTTTCTTTTTCTTTAAAAAAAAAAAGGTTTATTGATATCTTTTATTGTTACATCATCTCCCTGCTGTTCTCTAAAAATTATGATGATAGCTGGTATTTATAGACTGCTTAAAGGTTTATTAAAAAAAAAAATTATTTCACTGGATCCTCACAACAACCCTGGGAGGCAGATGTCATTATTATCCCTCTTTTACAGATGAATGAACTGAAGTAGACAAAGGTTTAATGACTTGCTCAGGGACACACAGCTAGTAAGTGTCTGAGACTGAATTCAAACTCGGGTCTTCCTGACTCTGGGTCCAGTGCTCAATCCACTGTGCCACCTAGCTGCCTGTGCAGCCAACTCCAAGTCTGATCATTATAATTACAGAGTTCTGCTTTTGTTTTGTGTTAGTCTTTCTACTTACACTGTCATACTCAATTGAGTTTATTGTTTCCTAGGTTCTCCTTTCTTCAATCTATATCAGTTTATATTTCTTTCCATGTTTCTCCTTTCTTATTTTTCTCGTTTCTTATGACACAGACCCTTGAATCAGCAGAATGACTCCTCTTCCTTCTTCTTTTCTGCCTTCTCTTTCTCTCTTTTCTTCCTCCTCCCCCTCTTCCTTTTTTCCTTCTCCTTCTTCCTCCTTCTTCTTTCCCTTCTTCTACCTCCTCCCCCTCCTCCTTCTCTTCCTCCACTTTCTCCTCTTCCTCCTCCTCCTTCCCCTCCTCCTTTTCTTCCTCCCCCTCCTTCTTTTTCTCCTCTTTTTTCCTCCTCCTTCATGACATCAGAAGACCAGTGATGAAGCCTGCCTACCTCACTCCTCTTGGTAGAGATGGACTATAGGCATAGAACAAGACAGAGTGTGTGTGTCCAGTGCCCCAATTTTTACTTGACTGTACTCATTTGTTTTAAGGAAGGGCTTCTGTTTGGGCAGTGAGAGGGTGGAAATTGGAAGAGAGTGAATGGGGAGTAACAAACTTGTGAGAAAAAAAAAGAAAGAAAAAACATCAATAAAACATTTAAAAGTACAGAAGGAAACAAGATGTTTATAAGTGAATACAAACAACAGAGCAGTGTTGTGATTATGCTGTTAAATTTAATATACACTTTTTAAAAAAACAAATTGTGTCATGGGGGAGTAAAAGGAAAGTGATATGCAACTCTAAAAACACAAAGAATCACAACCAATCCTTCTGTCTGAAAATCCCCGGTTTGGATTGCTAGGAGCAGGAGAGAGGCCCAGGCTGAAATAACTAGAAGTGAGGGGAGCTCACCTGCTCAAAGAAAGGTCATTTTCCCTGTCTCCTCTTCTTGACTTGGGCACTGAAGTGTTTCCACAGCAGCTCCTACATGGGATCAGCTTACAGACTGATTGTAACTCCTTGCCTACTCACCAATATGCCAGTGTTATGCTGCCACCACTGGTGTGAAAAGGACAGGTGAAGCATGAAACCTGTTTTTCAGCACATGATTTAAATCCTAACTGGGGAAAAAAAAAAAAACAACAACAACAAAAACAAAAAAGCTCAAACTCAATACTGTCCATGAAAAGGGGGAAATGGGAACACATTCTTTGGAAATTTCATAGACCAGAGACCAGGCTACTGCACACATGAGATAACAAATCAATTAGCTAATTGGAAACCAGTTGCAATTTTTTTTTTCCAAAGCTCATGAGAAGCAGAAAGATACATTCGAAAATGGGCCAACAGATTCTGATCTAATAAGTCTGCCATATTCTTGTTTTCTAGAACAAATATGAAGGATTCCTGCAAACTTCCAGAGGAAAAAATGCTGGACCTAGAGCCTGGAGACTGGGTTCAAATCCCAGCTCTGCCAATTATTATCTGTGGTTTGGGGCAAATCATTTAACCTTGGTTTTCTCATCTGTCAAATGATGTAGCTTTTAATTCATAATCTTATGACTAGTGGAATACCAATGACAGAGGTTACATTTATGTATTTATTTCTAAGGAACCAGTTATACTAGCCAAAATTAAAGAAGCTCACAAAGCAACAGAGTTAGAAAGGTCCTTAGATGCCATTGGGTCCACCTTGTATCTGAATAACTACCCTGCCTACATCTCTGAGAAGTTGACATTCAACTTTAGCCTGAACACTTTCAGAAATTGTGAGCTAACTACCTCTTGAGTCATGCCATTTCACTCTCAGACAGCTTGAATCGAATTTTTCCTCCTATTGCGCTTCAATCTGCCTGTCTGCCACTTTTCACCCATCATCACACTCCTAACTCTGCTCACTAGACCTAAACAGAGTCTGCTCCTTATTAGAAACTATTAGATGGCACAGTGGCTACAATCCAAGACTTGGAGGCAGAAAGACCTGGGTTCAAATCCAGTCTCAGATGCTTCTTAACGAGGTGATCCTGGGCAAGTCTTTTAACCTCTCTGTGTCTCAGTTCCTCAATCTCAAAGTGGGAATAACAAAAGCATATACCTCACGGAGTTCTTGTTAGGATCAAATGAATTAACATATGTAAAAGGCTTCATAAACCTTAAAGCACTATCTAAATGCTAATAATAATACATTATTATTATCCTCCCCTAGGATATTCTTTTAAATACTCAAAGTCAGTTATTATATCCCACCTCTCAGTCATTCAAACATTTGAGTTGAATGAAATGACAAAACTAGTAATAAATGAAATGTAGCCAACTACTTGAATCAATGAAAAAGCATTTATTAAGGGCTCACTATGTTTCAAGTAGTGTGCTAAATACTAAAGATTCGAATAAAAAAATGAGAAAGACATAGGATTAGAGATTTGGAGCTAGAAGGGACCTTCCTTTAGAGGTCACAGAGTATAACCCTCTCTTTTTACAAGTGAAGAAAGAAAAACCAAGAGAGGTCGAGCTGTCAACTCCCATCTGGATCCACTGGACCAGGTTCCAGGTCCAGTGTTCTATCAACTACACCAGGCAATGTCTCAAAGCAATTCATTCCCTCAAGGAACTTGCATTTGAATACACAGAGGCAACACAGAGGAAGGGTTATTCTTAGTAAGTAACTTACTAAGTGCTGAATTTCAATTGAAAATTATTTTCCCCCTTTGTATAATATTCTTCAAGAAGATTTTGGCCAATAGAGATTCTATTTTTCTGCTATCAGTTAAGGGAGTTAATGTTCTTACATCCTTAAAAGTTCCGGGAGTCTCATCTCCACAGGTAAAGTTGGGTGATGACCTGTTCCTTGGGTCTAGGACACACGGGGCTAGGCAGGGGTAGAAGGTGGGGTAAGGAATGAAGTTTTAGGGAATAAAAGAGGAAAATTTACCATCAAATACATCAGATAATTTCCTGAACAAAGAAAGATTCTTTAGGCAATCTATTATGGGATATTTCTCATAATTCATTTTCTAAAATTTCAAAAATAACATAGGAAACCATAGTCATTTTTTTCACTACTTGGTCATTAAAAAGACAAGAACAAAACCCCCAATGAAATAATCAGTGTTTATTAAGTGTAGCTCTTTTGTACATAGTGATTCAATGATTAAAGGAGAAACAATCTGAATATTCCCTCCTGACCCTTTATGTGATTATCATTATTTATAGACTGCAAAAAATTAAAACCCAACATATTGTCAAGGCATAGAATCACAAATATGTCATTAAAATAGGCATATGAGCTCCCAGGACTCCCTGGACTCCATTGTGCTTACAGATTTGCGGTACTCAGACACTAATTGAAGTTACCCTGGTAATGAATTTTTGCTGTGATTCTATCATTAAACTATCTGCGTCATCCATAAGAGAAATTTGCCATCACATGCACAAAAACATTATTGGATATTTTTCTCCCTAACTCAGAGTCTAATTAATTGATTTTTGCATCTTTATAATTTATTATTAGTTTCTTAATGATTCTATTTGAATGCTTCAGGAATCAGAGAAAGCACAAGCTGACCCAAAGGGAAAGTTGGTCTATGGTTAATTATCATTGCTTTCATAGAACATTCTGTTTTTGCAAAGCATGTCACAGCCACTGATGAGTTCATCCATAGAACATCTCGGTGAGGTAAGTCCAGTAGAGAGAAATGATTGAATCAGGGAAGAAAATACACCCTATAAATTAACCTGGCACTTAACAAGCAAAGCTTTTTGTTGTGACACTCAATACTACTACAACAATCTGACATGTCTTCAGCAGAGGGATGGCTTTCGATGACTGGTGAAAATGAGTTACAACTTTGAAGATGGTTTCCTTTTGACCGTGCCAGTAATTTTGCCATATGGGTTGTCAGTAGGGAGCAGAACCTATGGATAGAACCAACATTAGCTTGAGGGAAATAGACATCTAGCCATTTACTTGTGTTTTATTAATTCATGTCATGGAAATATTTGGTAAAAAAATGCACGTAAATTATACATGTATGTATGTATATATAGTGAACATGCATGCACATAGTATGCCCTTAATTATAAATATATGTGCACATAAATGTGTAGGTATGTACATATGCGCACATATATATGGCATTGTTGGGGAATGAGCTATTCCAAATAAGCTAATTTTCTATATCCTTCAAGGTAAACTCCCTCATTCTGCTTCCCCTAGCACAAAAAATTTTTTAAATAATTTTAACATTTTGGGGCAGCTAGGTGGCACAGTGGATAGAGCACCGGCTTTGGATTCAGGAGGACTTGAGTTCAAATACGACCTCAGACACATAACACTCACTGTGTGACCCTGGTCTAGTCATTTAACCCCATTGCCTAGCCCCCCCCCAAAATGTTGAACATTTTAAAAGCATCTCTCCCAAGGGTTACATGGAATCATAGACGCAGACCTAGAAGGAACCTCAGAGACCCTCCCCTTTAGTTTACTTTTGAGTAAATCGAGTCCCTTACTAAGTGATTTGTTCAAGGTTGCAAAGGCACTAAACATCAGGGGCAGAATTTGAACCCAAGTCCTCTCACTACAGAGCCAGCATTCTTTCCAGCAATTACTCAGCCCCTTGTTTTTCTCTTTACTTCCCAATCATTTTCCACCTCTGTCTTGTGACAAACAAAAACAATTTAGCAAAAAACATCTGATACAGAACCCTTGTTTGACAACCTGTCCAATATTCTGTTCTCATAGTCCGCCAGCTCTTTGATATAAAAAAGGAGGCATGTTTTATTATTTCTTTTCTAGGACCTTCACTGCTTTTTCCATTACTCAAAGTTTAACTTCCTTTCTTTAGTTTCTCTGCTTTCGATAGAGAGTAATTCAATGTTGTAGTGGATCCTTGCTTCATTCAGCAATGCAACATACGACATACTTATCCAACAAGTAATTATGAGGTTGTGGCACTGTGGTAGGTGCAGGAGTTAGAAAACTATACAGTCCCTGCCCTCTCATGGAGCTTACCTTCTATTGGGGAGGGGAGAGAAAGAACAGCTTGGACACACACACACACACACACACACACACACACACACACACTATTTACAAAATACACTCAAAACTATTTTGGGAATGTTATTGAGGGTGTGGAGCATCAAGATGGGCACCCCTTGGGAGGTTGCCCCTGAGTTGAGCTTGGAAAGAAGCCAGGCTTCCATGAGATAGAGGTGAGGTGGAAGTGTGGAGGCATAGGAGAGAGACTGTGTAAAGTTAGGAAGAAAATCAAATGTTGTGTGTTGGAAGCAGAAAGTTGATCGGTTTGGCTGGATTGTTGAGTTCGTGAAGGAGAGTGATACACATGCAATAAACCTGGAGAGGGAAGTCTTGGAACCACACTGTTGGGGGCTTTAAATATCAAACTGAGGAGTTTGTATTTTGTCCTAGTCATAGCGCTTGGTCAGCACTCTGCTTGAGCAGTACGACTTTGGCAGCTTGAGTGGAAAGAGGAGAGACTGATCTCATTGAGGTGACCGTCTGTGATTGCACCCAACCCACACCTTCTCATTCTATAGTACAGCTCTTGTCCCTGTCCTACCAATATTTTTGCCTTACTTGAAGATTTCCATTAGCACTTTTAATTCCATCCAAATCAATCAATAAGCATTAAGCTTGTTATTATTAAGCTTATTAATCCAGGCACTGTGCTAAGCCCTGAAGATACAAAAAGAGGCAAAAGTCAGCCCCTGCCCTCAAGGAGCTCTTGGTGTAATGGTGTTTATCAAGTGTGAGGCCCTTGGGGAAACCAAAACTAAATGGGCCCCTGCCCTAACAATCAAATGCATTTTAAATTCCGAGTACAGATACAGTCCTCACATCACCCATCTGGCATCTTGAAGATAATTTAACATTTTATCAAAGACTCAAGGCCATCATTATGATAATTAGTGCACTTTGTCACAAAGAGTGATACTGTCAAGCATTTCTTGCCCCAGCCCTAGAGAGCTCCAGAGGGCTATGCTTTTGGAATTCTTTCTTCTGTTTTTTTTTAGGATTTTTTTCCTGTCCACCTCACCGTCAGTTGCCCTTTCATCCCCCTGCCAACTCCTCATGTCCTCTTCTCCTTTTAATTTCCTACTTCTGATCTGACTAGAGCAGAAAACTCCGATAACCAAATGAATTACAATTGCCTATAAAGTAAGAATGAATTGATCCCTAGAGAGGGCCTGACAGGGTTTTCCTACAGAGCAAAGCACATAAGTGTTAAGTACATGGACTTATGACCCTCTGTTCCGACAGCTCAGAGAGATCTATTTTGCTCTACTCCAGAGAATGAAGTTGTAAGATAGGTGACCTCTGGATAAATGAGAGGTCACATTAAGTGAAATATTTGCAGAACCTCACATGTGGGTAATTTCACTTTCTGTTCCTTGTCCTGTTCCTTTTTCTTTTTCTTTTCAGAATCATCTTCCCCCTTTCTCTTTTGATCTCATTCATTTTCTGTGATCTCCAAATCAGCTTAATTTTGGTCACAGACAAAAATGCCACAGATATGCATTTGCATCAATCAACTGTGAGGCCCCATCCTAAGGGACTCTAGGCATTTATAGAATTGACAAAATTTAGGAGTTTAGAACGTTGAGTCTAATCCTCTCTCTTTGTAAATGAAGGAACTGAGACTTAAGAGTGGTGAAATTTCTAGTTCAAAGTTACTCAGTTATTTAGAAACAAGTCCGGTACCAAGATTCTAGGTCTTCTGCCCCCTAGTGGTCTTTCAACTAGGTAATACTACCAGGGGGAGGGAGAGGGGAAGAGAGGTATTCTCCATTTATATTATTAGAGATACCTATATTAGATAATTAAAATAGCACACTCTCCTAAGGCCTCCTTGGAAACTCATAGGTGGTGAAAGGTTTGGCACTTTTCACTGACAGATTATTGTAGGACTAGCATAGGGAGCTCTTGCAGCTCCCAGAATGGGAAGCTTAAGGCTGCAGGTCTACCTTGTCAAACCTTTTGGAAGCTTTTACTATACTGTGATTTTGAAAGTCTGGGAGGTTCATTTGCTTCTCTCAGCAGATATTTAGATATTTTCCTCTTCAGTGACACCTTCTACATGAAGTCCTTCCTGATTCCTACAGCTGCTAGTGTCTTCTTCCAACAAATCCCTTTATATTTATTCAGTATGTAACTTGAATATACTTACATATGGTGACACTGTGGATAGAGTGACAAATTTGGAGTCAGGAAACCCTGAGTTCAAATCTTGCCACAGATACTTATTGGCTATATGACCCTTGGTAAAATACTTAACTTCTCACCTCAATTTCCTCATCTGTAAAGTGGGGATAATAGTAGCACCTACCTCTCAGGGTTGTTGTGAGGATTGAGTGAGAGTATATATGAATGCTTTGCAAATTTGAAGCACTTTATAAATTCTAGTTATTATGTTGTAGTTGTTGTTCTTTCCTCTGACAAAATGTAAACTCTTTGAGGACAAGGAGTGTTTCCCTTTGCTTTTGTATCCCCAGTGCCTAGTATAATGCTTGGCACATAGTAGAAGCTTAATAAATCTCTATTGACTCATCAATTGATGCTACCTTGCTGTTTTAGGCTGAGGTTCCATGAAAAGGACCTAGAAGGAGAAATGTCATTATGTATACTCTAGATCAGCTTCCTTCTTTGGTCCAGAGCTCCATTCATACTCTAGATTAGTGCCTAATCCAGAGTTCTTAATACGCCACTCCAGTAAATGCTTTTGCTTTGAGCTATTTCGTCCTCTGGCTGACTATGAATGCTAAGCACACTGGTAGGGGCTCATGACCTGTATTTTTAGGGATATAGACACACAGATATGTCCTGTGAGTTGGCATGGGGAAGGGTAGATCCTCATTCTCAAGAAGAGGGAACATGGAGAAATTGGCAAGGGTATAAAGAAAAACATGGCACAAGCATTCCCGAATCATGCAGGCTATAGAACCTTTAGTCAAAGTGTAGCATTTAAGCATATTTCCAGTGTTAGCCCCAAATTGTGTATGCTGCCTGGTCATTGTAGGCACTGGATTTGGTTGGAAGAGAAGAATCTGGGCTCAAATCTCAGCTCTGCCACTAACTTCCTATGAGACTTTGGGCAAGTTGTTTAATCCACTTATGTCCCGGTTTCCTTATTTTCCAAATGAGGCCTTTGGGTCCCTTTTCAACTTTAAATCCTATGAAATACAGGAAATCTCATAACATTTTAGTTTCATTATGTATATGTGAACATGTATATATATACTTTTATACATAGATGCACACAAGAGGCAACATGGCATGATGGATAATGGGCCAGCCTTGGAGGCAGAAAGGCCTGGATTCAAGTACTACCTGTGACAATGTTGAATGTATGACCATGATGGAGTCACTTCTCAACAACTCCAGGCAACTCTCTAAGACTCTAAGTAACAAATGAGCTTGCAGTTTGCATTGGTGGGATGAGTTCCTAAGTTATGAACTTCCCACATGCATGAAATGAATAGTCCAGTCCAAAAAATATGCATACAAGCATATATATGGATACAGAGATATTTTATGTAGCTAATAGAAATAATCATATTAATAGAAAAATCCAAAGTTTAAAACAATCCATCCATAAAACTGAGACAAGAACAATTTAAGAGAAATGTTGCCTATGGAATACTGATGATCAGAAACTGCCAATAGATTGACATGATCAGAAGTGCCTTTCCCCTTTTGTGTCCTCCCCCAATCATCCCAGTCTTTTAGCAACAGGGACTAACTGCTCATGATTCCAGTGTCATTTAAAATGTCCCTGGGCTTTGTAGCTAGATAAATGAAATGATTTAATTGTTTTTCTACTTCAAAAGAGAAGTAAAGACAAACAAATAAACAAACAGGAAACCTTGCCACAATCTAGCTGCTTTTCTAAAACCAGACATCATAGCTGGAAGGGAGCCTCCCCATCCCACCTTCTATAATTCCAGTTAGAAACACGAATGTCCTTTCATCTCCCCTAAAAAGCTTCCTTGCTACTGGACTTGTTGCTTGCTAATCAATAAAACTCTTTGGCTGGTTGAGGAAGAAAAATGCATTGCCATGAGGGAAGGTAACACTTCTCAGGGAAGTCTCCCTGAGAGTTTTGTATTGTGAACACCTCTCTTTGTCCCTCTTCATCTCTACCCCCACCTCCCCTCTCAGCATCCAATCATCTGTCCACTCCTAGACCATCCAATCCTTGAGACCTTGAAGTGTCCTGGGTGTGAAATATTTAATTAACTGTCACCTAGGAAGACCCAATAGTTGCTAAGATGGTAGACAGCTTTCTGCTCTGAAAACTTAGGATGGGAGATATAGCTGGCTATTGAGAGTGGCTATATGCTGAATACTTGAAAAGTTTTCTTACCTCATCTTTGTTGATCAGCCCCATTTTGGACATGTCGATGGTGAAGTAGTGAATGTTCGGGAGGCTGATTTCCATGTCTTCTATCTGAAATCAGTTCCATAATATGGAGTGTGATTGTTTTGAACCTCCAACCGTCCATCCACTTTCTCTTACCTACCCCCCCAAATTGTTCCTTTTTAAGACCCTTTCTGTTGTTGTCATTAAGTTCTCTTAGTCACGTCTGACCCTTCGTGACCCAGTGAGAGATTTTCTTGGCAAAGATACTGGAGTGGTTTGCCATTTCCTTCTCTAGCTCATTTTTCATATGAGGAAACTGAGGCAAACAGGGTTAAGTGACTTACCCAGAGTCACACAGCTACTAAGTATCTGAGGCCACCTAGCTGCTGTCTCTCTAGTATTTGTAACATTTCTTCTCCTCCTACTCTGCTCCTTTGCCTGCTCCCATCTCATATCGTCCAAGTCAGCTCTTTGTCTACTTCTATCATTCTACACTAAACATCTTCAGTTCTTTCCACATAAGTCCCCAACCAGCCCTTCCTGTCAACCGCCCTTTATTACTTATTCCTCTCCACACCCCTCCTTATGTCTTTTAGTTCCTTACAAACATAGATCCACTCAGGGGTGTGCTACCGCCTAGAGAGCAAATTGCTGAATTTTCAGTGGGAGCTCAGAAATAGGCAAATGCTACAAATCAGTAATTGCATGATTGTTTTGTTATTGACTAGACTTAATAAAGTGATAAAGAAAATGTTAATAATGCAGAGTATACAGAAAAATGTGTCCTCTGTGCTGAAGCATTTATCAGCACATACTTGGATCCACTCTGAGACTATGAAGTGGTGACACAGAAGTGCTATGGGTCACACTTACCCTAAATCAGTAGCAAATGAAAAGGAAGCAGAGTTTTCAACCAGAGTTGAGAATGATGCTATTGACCCATATTGCCAATTCTAGTCATCTATTATTTGCTTATTTCTTCTTTGCTGCACAGAATTATTAAGCCATAGTAGGTTGTTTTTCATCTAGTATTCAGTTTTCTATTTTACCTTTAAGATTTTTCTCAAGACAGGAGGATCTCCAGCAAGTTATCTCAACCTAAACTCTCCAAAGGGTTTAGTGAAAAAAAAGATACCTCTGGAGTTTGGCTCAGGGACGACACTTGAATGTCATAGAGGGTCTTCTGAACTGAAGGGGAATACTCTCCTTTGTCACATGGCCCAGCAAATTTCTCCAAGACAATATCCCGAACACCATTCCTTAAACATGGAAGGGGAAAATAACAAATTCAAGAGATAGCAATGGTGTGACTTTTTTTTTCAAATTAAGATTTCATTAATAATGCCACTTCTTTTTAGTATGACTTTACCTGTCCCCTCCTGCCCTTCTCCTCCTCTTCCCCCCCTATACCTCACTAGGGATCCTAATATCATGCATGCTTATGCTTCTCATTTCCCCATGCAGTAAAGGCAAACAATATTTCTAGTCGTCTGATAGATGATCAAATATGAGTCACTGGAAAGAAAGAACTTTTAAGAATATTAGAACATTGTGATATTTGGTTTTGCTTCAAAATCTCATTACCACTCCCTCTGTACATCTCATCTCCAAACACCCGCTCCCCAGTACACACACACACACACACACACACACACACACACACACACCTTCCTTGGCTCCTGGCATCCAGCTACCAGGCAACTTTCATCACCTAGTGCATTTGACAATTGGCACCAATGAAATACAAACTCCTCCTGTCTCTCATCCTGTGAGGTACTTAAGGAAAATAGGAAGGAGGCATTTGACAACTTTGATCCTTCCATTCCTTACCCCAGCTGGACCCCAAACTGATAACAAAACTATATTCTCCTTGCAGTATCTGATTGCCAATGAAGGCCTAGCTTTCTTTTAAAACCAAACCAAACCAAAAGGCTAATATACTTGAAAGGTAGCGTTAATAAATAAACATATATAGGTGTGTGTATACATATGCATATATACACATATATGTGTATGTACATGTATGTATTTGAGATGAAAGACATCTCAAAAAAAAAAAAGAAGAAAGATAGCTATAGATCATGGGACAGAATCATAGAGCAGGATTCAGTAGTGGCTAGACCATTTCTGGAGAGTCCAGTTCAGTTCTGGGCAAGGTCTTTTTCAAAAGAGATGGTGACAAATCGAAATCCATCCAGAAGAGAGTGACTAGAATGGTGAGAAATCGGGAAATCATGTCACATTAAGAATGGTTAAAGAAACTGGGGGTAACTGGCCTGAAGAAGAGAAGATTTCGGGAGGATGTGATGGCTGCTTCAAGCATTTTGAAGGGCTGTTATATAGAGGAGGCCCACTTAAAGATTTAGAGCTGGAAAGGACCTTTGGGGCAAAGTATCTCAGTGCCTCAGAGGCTGTCCAGGTCAGGGGTGGGGAACCTGCAGCCTCAAGGCCACATATGGCCCTCTAGGTCCTCAAGTGTGGCCCTTTTACTGAATCCAAACTTCACAGAACAAATTCCCTTAATAAAAGAATTTGTTCTGTAAAACTTGGATTCGGTCAAAAAGCCGCACCCGAGAACCTAGAAGGCCACATGTGGCCTTGAGGCGGCAGGTTCTCCACCCCTGGTCTAGTCCAACCTATTCCTAAATTCAGTATGTTCAATAAACATTTATTAAGCACCTACTGTGTTCCAGGCACTGTGCTAAGTGCTGAGGATACAAAGAGGCAAAAGACAGCCTCCGCCCTCAAGGAGCTTACAATGTAACAGGAACAAGTATCTCCTCTAAAATTTACCCAAGAAAGGTCATGTAGTCTACCTCCCTCAGATTATAGTTGAGAGAACTGAGGCCCAGAAATGTTACACAACTTGCCCAAGGTGACACAAGTATGGCAGAATGGCAGAGTCAGACATTTGAACCCAGGTCTGTCTGAGTCTAACCCAGCAATTTTCCCATGTTGCCTCTGAAACACTTGTTCTGTGTTGCAATAAAGTGCAGAACCAGGAGCAATGGGTATACAATACAGATCAATGTAAGGAATAACTTTTAACTAATAGGAGCTATACAACAAGGATAATGGATTGCTTATGGAGCAAGATGGTGAGAGAGACAGAAACAGAGAGAGAAAGACAGAGAGACAGAGACAGAGAGACACACAGAGACAGACAGAGAGACAGACAGAGACAGACAGACAGAGAGACAGAGACAGAGAGAGAGAGAGAATGGAGAGAGAGAGAGAGAGACAGGTGGATGGATAGAGGGAGGGACAGATAGGTGCATGGACAGAGGGAGAGAGAAAGAGAAAGATGATGATGATGTTGGAGGAGAGAGAGAGAATGGAGGGAGAGAGTGTGGATGGATGGAGGGAGAGAGTGTGGATGGATAGAGGAAAGGACAGACAGACAGGTGGATGGATAAAGGGAGAGAGAAAGAGAGAGAGATGATGATGATGATGATGATGATGATGATGATGATGATGATGATGGTGATGGAGGGGAGACAGAGAGAGACAGACAGACAGACAGAGAGACAGAAAGAGAGAGAGCACGTTTTGTTAAGCATGTACATGCCAGGCCCAAGCACTAGAATTGTTCAAGAGAAGAGAACCAAGCCATCACCTAGAGGCACCAGAGAAGGCATTACTTTATGAATGTGGGGTTGGTCTATTTGGCCTCCTGGTGTCATGGACTCCAACCCAACCTGTGGAGGGGGGGAGGGGTCAGTTCATGCTCCTGCTTCCTCACCACACTGTTTGGAAGTCCACATTCCGGAACCGATTGTAACGCCACTTGCAGTAAACTTGGGTGGCAAAGCACCGGTCCTTCACTTCAGGAAGGGTCGTGAACTGGTCCTTGATGAAGCCTTCAAATCCAGACTGGGTTGTTTTCAAAACCTTCATGTCCTTGATGCCAGAGTGAATGGTTGGGGGTCCTGTTCGGGAAAAAAGAAGTAGAGAGGAGAAATTAAACTGGAAAAAGCCTAATCCCAGTGGAGAAGAAAAGTAGAAATTCTGGGGGTGTTGCAATTTTCGCAAAACAACCTTGCTTTCTCCCAAAACACTACTTTTTCCCAGACCCATCACATTGTGCATCTCCCAGGAGGCTTTGAAATTCTTAAATAAAAAATTCAGAATAACCTTTTCAGAGAAAACATTGTTCTCTCTTCTATGGATTTGCTTTTATCAGCTCCTCTATTTACAATGTATTTCTCACTGTTATCAAGACTCCAACTCCACCCCAGTCTAGGCCTTTGTAGATTGAAAGTAGGAGTGGGAAAGAGTCTAAACCACCGGTTTTACCTGAAGCACCCTGAAATGAATCCCCTTGCTTCTCCATGCTGCCATACCCAAAGGTAGGCATTATGTATGATAATTAACATTCTGCATCTTTAATGAAAAGTCTGAGAATAGAGAGGCAGCCTGACAGAGTAGATCAAGAGCCAGAATTAAAGTCGGAATTTCAAATTCTACTTTTGACATAGTCTGGCCATTTGACCCTGGGTAAGCCATTTAACCCCTCAGTGACTAGGCAACTATCTAAAACTATAAATTTTAAAGCAGGGGCTAATCTATAGTGGTAGAAGGTAAGGGGAGTGGGTTGGGGTTCTATATTGTCAACTCCCTAAATCAGTGAAGTCACAAAATCACAGGTCTGGACAAAACAAAGGAAACCCCCTACCCAAGATCATCTAACATGTCTCCTATTGTCCTTGTAACTCCCTTTATTATGATGCTGTACACTCAATATTATGGGCTGACTATTGAGATTATTCATTCAATATGCATTTAGTAAGCACCTACTGAGTACCAGGCATTGTGTTAGGAGCTAGGGACACAAACCCCTCCAGAATCTGTCTTCAGTCTATCTTTTCAGGCTGATTAAACATTACCCTCTCTCATGCATATTACATTTCAGCCAAACTGAACTAGGTCTTTTCTGTTCATTTTTGTATGGAACAATGCTGGCCCTCAAAGAGCTTACATTGAGGATAAATGGGAGAAACAGCGCATACACAGAAAAGTGAATACAAAATATATACTAAAGTAAGTCATTAACAATAAGGATGTCAGGAAAGATCAGGAAAAGTACTGTGTTAGAGGTAGCACTTTGTATGGACTGTCCCCTATGAGCAGAAAGATCTCTCTCCTCTCTACCACCTCTTGGAACCCCTGACTTCCTTCAAGAGTTGGCTCAAGCCTTGCCTGGTCTCCTAGCTGGCAATGCCTTGCGTCACCTTACAGCTTGTTGGAATATGTCTATGGGGTAGATGTTGTTTCCTCATTAGAATGTAACCTCTTAGAGGGTAGGGACTTTTTCACTTTGGCCAGCATAGTGCCTAGAAAATAGTGGGTCCTAAGGAGAGGCATGAAGGAAGCTAGGTATTTTAAGAGGCAGAGATGAGGAAGGACTCCATTCCAGGAGGCAGGGAGGTGAGACATGGGATGTCACAAAGAGACAATACATAGGTCAATTTGTCTGAAAGGCAGAGTAATGTTTAATTTGCCTAAAAAGATAGGCTGAAGCCAGATCAGGGAGGACTTTCAATACCACAGAAAGGTGTTTGCATTTTATCCTAGAGACACTAGGGAGATGTTAAAGGTTCTTTTATCTCTCTCTCTCTCTCTCTCTCTCTCTCTCTCTGTACCGCTCTCTTTTTAAAATTAAATTTTATTTTATTTTCAGATTTGTCTTCTCTCATTTATACATCTTTTTATCCCCCATTTAAGGAAGCAAGAAAAATAAAATCCCAGTTACAAATACATACAAGTAAAACAAATTCCTGCATTGATCATGTAAAAAAATATTTTCATCTGTACTGAGTCCATCACTTTTCTGCCATGCACAGTCTTTTAGTGCATGTATCTCAGAAAGTTTTGCTCATCAGCACCACATGATTCCAGTGCAGCAGTGTGATTAAGTGGAAATAAACTGGAGCAGGAATCAGAAGACTTGGGTTTTGAAATTAGCAGACATTGGTTTGGGGGAGCTGCTGAAAGTTCTTAGACAGAGAAGTGGCATTGTTACATCCACGTTTCAGGACTACCCAAATGGAGACATGAAATCAAGATGATGAAGTGACAGCAAGGACGACCCAAAGAACTATATGTCAATGAACATGGCTTCACCTAGAATACCTCTACTACTCCCTCATGTCCATTCAGTGGCCACAAGTCCCATTACCTCTCAATTCTTTCGATCTAAAAAGCTTAGCTGTCCCAGGCAACTTTGATTCTTGGAGATATGCCACTTATTTTCAAACTGCTATTGGGATTCCTGAAGGAATTAATTCAGAAAGTGTTCTCTTCAGGCTAAGTAGGTCCTTGACCAAATTTCCTCCTTGGGCAAAGGTGACTGGATTGGGTTACAAAATGAAGGGTCCCATCAGTTTAGCTTTATTGAATGTTAAGTAGCCTTTTCTGAAGACCATCAGCAAACATTTATTTAAGTACTCACTAGGTGCAAAACATAAAAAGCCCATGGACCCTGGCTAAATTCTAGTTACAGATTTTAATAGCACAATGATTTATACTCCCTACACAGTTTTAATTGAAGTGTTTCAATAGACATTGCTCTGCACTCAGGAGTAGCTAAATTTCAGTAAAAGTGGAATAATTACTATTTCGAATTCCTCTCTGTTACATCCTATGGAGAGCAATGACCAGTGAAATGTTGGTTCATTAAATATGTATTAGTATCTGCAGTGTTCAGTGTAGTGTTCTGGTCTAAAAGAGGCTGGAAAAATAGATTTTTTTTAAAATCCCAAATATCTATGGCAATCAGTGATTAAGAAAGGAGGATAAAAGCAGCAGGGAAAACAGAGGTCTGTCCTGGGTCCCTTCTGGTTCAACATTTTTATCAATTACTTGGATGAAGGCACAGTTGTCATGTTCATCAGATTTGTAGGCAAGATAATTCTGAAAGCAATTAACTAACACACTGGATTCAAGAACCAGGAACCATCAGTATTTCCATGGGCTACAATGATGGAGTCAAGTCAAATAGGGTGAAAATTACTAGAAAAAAATGTAAATTTGTTTACTTGGTTTCAAAATTTTAACTGTAGAAGGGCAGGACAGGGGACTTATGGCCAGATAAGACATCACTTAACAATGATGTCATAAGAATGATAAACTTGGGAAGACTTAAGATCTCTGATCCACACATTGACCGATCATGATTCTAGAGGACCATTGATGAAGAATGTTACCTATCTCCTGACAGGAAGATTATGGAATTGGGGGCAAAATGAAATACACATTTTTGGCCATGGCCAGTGTAGGAATTTATTTTCCTCAACTATGCATAATTGTTATAAGAGTTTTGTTTTTGTTTTTCTTTATTTCTCAAATGAGAGGTAGGGAGGTAGGAAGGAGAGAAAAAAATGTTTAATTAAAAAAGTGAATTTTTAAAAATAAAAATGACCTTGAGATTTTAGCAGACTGCAAATTCAATGTGTACTTATCATGTCAGTGTCATGCTATGATGTTAAAAAAAAAATATCTGGAACAAAGGAAAAAATAGCCCTGCTTTACTCTGTCCTGGCGAGGAGATCAGTTTTGGGTTTCACATTTTAGGAAAATGTCTTAATAATTGGAGTTATCCCAAAATAAAATGTATTCCCTTTGGGAGGTAATGAGTGCTCCCTCAATAGAGATCTTCAAACAGGTGCTGGATGACTACTTGACCATTATGTCCCAGTGAGGATGCCTTTTGGGTATAGATTGGCTTAACTGGCTGTTGATTAGTCTTCCAACTCTAATATTCTGTGATTCTCTGACTCCATGCAGGACATTGAGAAGCTCAAGTTATTGGGATGGTTATTGGGATGGGTTATTGGGATGATTGAAGGATTTGAAACCATGTCATTCAAGTATCCAGGGACTAGAAATATTTGTCTTTGGGGAGGAATGACATGATGGCTGTCTTTGAGTATTTGATTGGTCATCATGTGAAAGGCAGATTGGACCTAGAGGACAGAACTAAGCTGGAATTGGAGATGAGATGAACAAAATAGCACCATCTGCCTATCTCTTGCTTATAACAGAATAAAAAGTGTTTCATGATGCCTTGGGAAGGAAAGATTTTTATAAACACCAGTGCAATTTTAATTATCCTTGGCATCATTTGCTTCTATACAAAAGCTCAATCAACTTACTTTCATCCAGATGATACCCACCATCTCTACACAGAGGTCCACCAAGGGAACTTTTCTCTTGCCTGGATTCCACACTCTTTCCTTAACTCAGTATGAACCAGGCTAATTCTCACCCAGTAAATGGTCTTTGATCTATCTACTGCTGCTTGAATACTTTACGACCCCCTCCCCTCTCTGGAAGATCTTTTCCTAAAACGACTTAATGAAGTCTTAAAAAATATCCCGCTCCTTTCTATTTGTACAATGTGGAGGCAGTTATATTTCCTCATGACAGGACTTTTTTTATGGCTCAGGAAAAGTGTTGTACTTTGTGGCACCTGATGTGTAGGTAAGGAAATGGGTTTGTTTTCTATTAATTCTCAGTGAGCTCCTTTCCCTTAGAGAACTAAAGGGTAGAGTATATGGTTCTTTGGGAAAGAAATTGCAATCTGGTAGGTTAATGAGTATGTAGGAGGAATACTAAAAGCTAGGGAAAATTATGTTGCAGAAAAATTGAAGTGCAGAAAACTCTATCCTCTTCCTTTCCACCCCTTTTTATCCTCATGCCTTACTCCACAATCATCGAGGGAAACCTGAAAAGCTTATTAAGTGGTTTCATGGAAATGTAACCCAGAAAAGGACAGTCTTTTTTGGGTGCATAGCTTCTTGTTTGCATAAATTTAAATATTCTTTGAGTGTGTGAAGCATAATATTTTCATTGGTGGGTCTGTAGACTAAAAAGGCTCCAACTCAGCCATTGTGCTGAGAGTTGGGATGCTGCCAATAGAGAAGATAAA